CCCCAAACCCCTAAACCCAAAGCCCTCAACCCTAAACACTAAATCCAAAGTCCTCAACCCCAAACCCTAAACCCAAAGCCCTCAACCCTAAACCCTAAACCCTAAACCCTAAACCCTAAAGTCCTGAACCTCGAAACCGCAACGTAGAGTGCAGGGTTTAGGACTCTTACTCTTAACCCTAAACCCTAAACCCTAAACCCTGAACCCTAAACCCTAAACCCTAAACCCTAAACCCCTAAACCCTAAACCCTAAAGGCCATCTCACGAGGGCCCTAAGCAGTCCTTATCTGTTGCTCCCGGGTTTACAACTTAAGCTAGTACGGGGGGGCCCTAAACCCCAAACATGCCCAAACCCTAAACCCCAAACCCCAAACCCTAAACCCGAAACCCTCTAAGCTTCATGCCTCGATGGTTTGAGAGATGATACCAGTCTTGTCCTCATCGATCGTTGAGAAGATGTTGTCATCGTAATTCCGCGCCTATTGGCTCAGGGCTTTTCAGTTCGTGGGTCTAGCGCAGGTCCTGTTTCATAACAAGGGGTGCAACTTTGAAAGCACTCGGCCAAAAAAAAAACATCTAGCACACTGCACTCGACTCCGCCATAGTCTTGCCCAGACCCGATCAAACGGAAAACAAGCTGGAACCTGAAGCCTAATCCCGAACTCACTTTGGCGGTGCTAAGCACAAGATCTTGCACCTCATTCCGAAGCCAAGAAGGTTTTCAATTGTACTGTAGTTGATAAGGTAGATCTTCTCACGAGGATGACGAGCATTCGGTTTATCGGAATCGCGAGGACCAACTAATAACCTGCCTGCAACCCAAACTGCATCATCTGAGCCCTATGCTTGAAACGTAGGCCCCACGTTCTAAGCTGCAGACCCTACGTCCTCAGCTCTGAACTGAAACAAACCCCGGTGCAGGGATCTCTCAAGGTTACACGAATAACGAAACGGTTTAGGGTTTAGGGTGTTAGGGTTAGCGACATGCTCTTCTGTACCCATGTGCTTTTAAGGGATGCTCGACTACACATATGCAGGGGCTGATAATTGAGGCTGTACCATTGCCTAACGCCTGCAAAGCCAAGATGCGAAGCCCACAAAAGCATAAACAAAAATCATAAGGTTGGGATATCTCATAATGCCCTTTCTAAACAAACCCTAAACCCTAATCCCCTAAACCGAAACAACAGCAATAGGGTAGGGATATCCCCACCCAGCAGCTTGTTCTTGTGTACTTCTTGGTTCCTGATATCAACCTTCATGTTCATAGGGTTTAGAGTTCAAGGTTTTGGGTTTAGGGTTTTAGCGGTTTAGAGTTCAGGGTTTAGGGTTTAGGATGTTAGAGTTCAGGGTTTAGGGTGTCCGATGAACCGACGAAAAAAGCTTTCGGCCCTCAAAACAAACAACCGAGTGCTCTAGTAGCTGTTGCTAGGTAAACCCTGAAAGGACAACGGTGCAGTTTAGGGCTTACAGGATACCTAAGCCGAAGTGCCCCAAATCTGGCTGACATGCGAAGCCGCACTTGGAGGTTCAGGGGTAGTTATAAGTGGGGTTTTAGTGGGTAACTATAATTATAACCCATATGAGGGGACTTATAACTCCACTTATATCTAGTCATGAACCTCCAAGCATGACCCTAAAACACCAACCCTGAACGCTAGTTCCCTACAAACCCCAAGCCCTTGACCCCCGAAGCCTAAGTTGTAAGCGTCCAATCCAAGGGGCCTGTTGGCTCCAAACCCTGATCTTCGGCCCCATACCATTAATCCTAGACCTGAAACCCTAAGCCCTAAATCCTGCACCCTAAATCTAAATGCTAAACCCTAAAGCCTGAACCCGAAGTCTCAAACTCGAAATCCTAAACCCTAAATGCCCTAAACCTCAAACTCTAAATGCCCTAAAGCGTAAACTCTAAATCCTAAACCCTAAATCCTGAACCCTAAATCTCAATCTCTATATCCTAAACCCTAAATGCCTTTAAATCTTAAACTCTAAAATCCTGAACCCCTACCTTAAATCTTAAACCCCAAAT